GGGAAGCTCTCCTGCAGGGCCTCCTGGATCCTGACAGCCCCCCGATTTACCCCCCCGGATGGCAGCCTGCAACAAGTGCAGCCGGGTTGACTGCCAAATGTTGCAATGTACCGAGTGCAGGCACTCGGGGCACTCCAAGACAGGACTGCTTTGCTGTCCCTCATCGAGGTAGACAAGCAAGCGGGGAACCCTGAGAACTGTCTGTCCGGGGTGGAGGTCGTAAGCACAGCCCTCGGCTAGCCTGAGGCAGCAGCTCCACGCTCTCAGTCCTAACCTGATGCCCTGCCGGCACCTGTTCCGGCCAGCCTTAACTTTGGTTCAGGGTCCACTCAACGTGGACATGCTAGTTTGAATTAGCAAAACACTCATTCGAATTAGTTTTTAGGTCTAGATGCACTAGTTCGAATTAGCTTAGTTCGAATTAACTAATTCGAATTAAGTTAGTTCGAATTAGTGCTGTAGTGTAGACATACCCACAGAGGCCTGCACACCCCTCTGACACAGCAGAACTGTACTTGACACAGAGCCTGGGAGTGGGTGGGAAAAATAATCTGAAGACCCAGTTTTGTATTCCCCTGATCCTGGAGCCAACTAGCAGCCAAAATGCCTCCCGCCATTACAGAAAACAGCCATTAGACTTTTCTACATTAGGCAGTCCTAGAATAGTCCTGTGGAGTCCATCTGACCACCATCTGAGGATTGCAAGAACACATCATATTACAGCTTCATCCTCACAGGGTGCATCTACACAGCACCATAAGTTGAAATAAGATATAGAATTTGAGCTACGCAAATTGTGTATCTTATTTTGATGTTATTTTTAAATAGATTATTTCAAAATTTGACGGCGTCTGCACAACACTCATTTCGAAATAAATTGCTATTCTAAAACATCCCTTACTCCTCGTGGAATGAGGTTTACAGTGACATCAGAATAGCGAGCCCATTATATTTTGAAATGGGCATGCTCAAAAGACATGCAATAGCTCTTTCTGGATACCTCCAGCATCCCAAAATAGTGCTGCAGTGTAGACATAGCCATAATGTCCCTTTCTGTCTTTGAAACATTGCCTACACCATTACGTCAAGAGAATCCCTGTCTGCCATTTTAGGGAAGGCCTTGGTCTTCTTTGCACTGCCAGAATAGTACACAGTGGATAGAGCAAAGACGGGCAGCAATTCAGCCCACTGTTCCTATTTGCAGTTGCTGTGGTCAATATTTTACACCAAAGAGTGTATGATTCTGCAGACCTACTTCTCTTAATCCTAACAGTTTTACATTAGTGTGGCTCCACTGATTGTACCTGTTTCTGGTTGCACCTGTTTCAGGGAGAAGGCAATCATGCTCTGCAATATTATCTATATGGTATTGCTGTACCAACACCAAGAAAATGTGAAACATGGATTCTGCTGGAACTGATTTGCTATCGTTTGGTACCATAATGTAGGCAAGGTGCAGGCACTTTTAATTACATGAATGTGGAGGCGCTCCAATCCAGGGCTCTCTGACGCAGTATTATAAACACCTCCCTACTTGTTTACTCTCCAGTTAAAAACATAAGTAATGTCCTGACAGTTACAAACAGTCAAAAGCTGGTGTGGATAGGTGGATGTTTCAACCAGGGAGAAACATGGTCAGAGAAACTGTGGGATGCAGCACACTCTAGTCTATACTACGACCTTACTAGGAAATAACCTCCAACCCAAGTGCAAATTCATAAGCAGTGCATCGATACTACCAAGCCCATTATTTCAAAATAATGGGCCATAGAATTCAAACTCTGTTCACCTGCTTTTCTTCAGGAGTAGCACTAACTCCAAAATAGTAATTTAAAAATAATGGTAGTGTGGATGTTCTGGTGCTATTTTGAAATAAATTACTCCCCAGAGTAATTCAAACTAATTACTCCCCAGTGCTAAATGGGGCTCTTGGACTAATTCTGAAGTTTTCCCGTAGTGTGGACATGCTAGTTCAAATGTGTTATATTGGGAGTTCTTAAGTCAAATTTAGTAATTTTGAAATAGTTTCCTATGGTAGAACTGGCCTAAATGATTAACTTTTAATATCTATATACACAGTTTATTAATGTATTTAGTGAGTAGTTCAATGATAGGCATATTAATTGAATTCACTGTATGTTTAATATTCAAATACAGGCAGTCCCCGGGTTACGTACAAGATAGGGACTGTAGGTTTGTTCTTCAGTTGAATCTGTATGTAAGTCGGAACTGGCATCCAGATTCAGCCGCTGCTGAAACTGACCAGCGGCTATACACAGTTTATTAATGTATTTAGTGAGTAGTTCAATGATAGGCATATTAATTGAATTCACTGTATGTTTAATATTCAAATACAGGCAGTCCCCGGGTTACGTACAAGATAGGGACTGTAGGTTTGTTCTTCAGTTGAATCTGTATGTAAGTCGGAACTGGCATCCAGATTCAGCCGCTGCTGAAACTGACCAGCGGCTGACTACAGGAAGCCCGA